ACGTTTATAGCAAAATCCTGTAATAGTCATTTAAGAGAAATACGACATATTAGACAGTTTCATTCTACCGCTTTGACTAGTTATCTGGCACGGTGTTTGATACTGTCCAAATTGGAATACGACAATTTTGTGTTATATGGAATATCTAAAATCCAAGAATTACGTTTCCAGAGAATAATGAATAGAGCCGCTAGAGTAGTACTCAATTCAAATACACCGTTACATCGTCTGTCATCAACGACCTCGTCGAATCTAATGAACCTCCATTGGCTTCCATTTCACTTTCGAGTTTTATTTAAAATAGCTGTCATCGTCTTCAAACTTTCAATCTCGCATTTACTGTCGTATCTCGGTGGTCTTCTACATAGTAACACAAACAATCGTCAACTTCGCTCTACGTTTTCATCAGCATAAAACAACAAACAATATTGCTGGTCGTGCATTCCTATATGCAGCTTCTCCCGTTTGGAATTTGCTTCCCCCAAAGATTAGGAACTGCAGCTTAACACAGTCATTCAAGTCGTCATTAAAAACTTTTCATTTTGATAGAGCGTATTTAAACGTCTGACAGGATGTTTTTTGTTTCGAGGGCGTCTCAGTCGCTTGTCAGGGCGCTTTATAAGTCAACATTATCATTATCAATATCAAAAAAATCGTATACACTGACACTTTATAAACACATTGTTGGTTACTTACTACAAACTTTAAATTAAATATGAATGAGACGTGGTGTGCACTCAATAATTTCACCTTGAAGTGCTTCGTACTGTCTTTGTTGCACGTACATCATACGAGATCTGACAGCTTGGCTAGCACTTACTTCCAACAACTGAACTCAATCGCCCAGGAACATTTGGGACTCGACAGCTTCAGGTTTGAATACATAAATGATGTGTGTACGTATGTAGTTGTTATATATGAAACATGTGTGTGTAACTAAGTGTGAATATTACAAAAAGTTACCAAGCAGTGTCATGTATTTATAAGCAAGTACAACATGAAAACAATATTTTTACGTCTCAGTGTTTCACAGTTGTAATTGAAAATTAATTTCAAACTAGTGATGAATTTTGATTTATTTTGATTGTAAAAAATATATCGCTTAGCTAAACTTTATTTATAATTTTTACTAATCTGCTAAAATATTCAAGAAAATTCTAAAATATTATCCCAGAACAAAACCCATTTTAACGTTATGGTAGAGGGTAGATAGACAATAAACTGGAATTTAAATAATAGAGGGTTAAAAAAGATTGTTTGTCTGAAGTTATACAATAAGTTTGTGTTCATGATCATCGCACTGGAATGCTTATTTGATTTTTAAAACATTGATGCGTGCGTTGTTCTTTGCCAAATAATTATAAATAAATTGAATTGGTCAACATTTACAAACATTTACATACATTACAACCATTACATATATTCATACATGCATGCATATATGCATACGTACGTACATATGTATATACACATTCGTACGTACATGTACAGTATAGTTTTTTTTTAAACAGAACAAAGTTCGTTAAACAAAACAAAGTTTTTTAACAAAGTTCGTTGGTAAAGTTAATAGTTGGTGTCGTATTCTTCATCCTTGTTGTTGTCATCTCTATGTTCTTCGTTGTTATTGAAGTTAGTAATCAGAAACTATTTAAACAAACCTGCACTAAAGATGATTTATAAAATATCTAAATAAGGCCTTATCTGTAAGATGAATTTGGATAAGAACAGTTTCATTATATTTTCATGATGAACTTGGATAATTCTGTTTTACATAAATTAAACGATTTCCAGAAAATTCTAATAAGGAAAATTGAAAAAACAAATTTTAAATTGATTAATGCCAACACTTGACAAAAATTCCCGTGCACATATTACACAGATCTATACACCTGTATTGTTTCCGCTTAGAGCCGCCCGCCTTATTTCCTTCTTTCAGCGAAAATAGCAGTACGTACCCGTTCTAAAGCGGAAACTGCCGACTAGAAAAACTTTCTCTATCCCGAGTGCTGCAGAGCACCAACACAAAAGGTCTTTCTTTCAAGCTTATGACCACCCCCCATAAATGGCGGGGGTGGTCATAAATGTATATGTGGAAGAGATTTCACATCTTCAAGAGGATTAAAAGTGCATCAAACTAAGATTGGATGTCTGTCAAGTACGTCGCAACGTTCGAATCTAGTGTTTGGTAAGACGGCGGAATCTACATACTAGGATGAAAACCACAGTGTAAGTGGATTCCACGCGTCGGATTTGGTAGAATGTCCAGTCAAAAAACGCATTAAATTTCTCCAGCCTCAGAGAGAGTAGTATGGTCAAAATTGGACGCTGAAATCACCAGGACCTTTATAGCGAGCAGTTCATCTGATGTCCGTCTGTTCACGGATTTTTTGTATGAAAAGTGTGCAAATCTGTTTGGTTTTCGTGAAACATTGATCAAACCCATTGAAAAGATGTCAAGAAGGCAGAGGGAAATTAATCAGCTGAAAGCGAGCAGAAACGCCTGAGAAATTTATGGAAAATAACAAATGGAGAAGAACGTGATCGTCTAATTCAGTTGAGAGATGACATCCGAGTAAAACTGAGCCAGCTGCGTCGAGCGGAGAGGTTACGGTCAAAGAAATACCGACAAAGAAAAGCTAGACAAGATTTTCTTGCCAACCCATACCGCTTTGGGAAACGGTTGTTTGAACAACAAAAATCCGGCGAATTGATAGTTTCGAGAAGGGAACTGGAGGATCACCTTGCACGAACCTACTCAACGACTGCTGGTGAATTGGAAGGAAATAACATGTTGAAGATTAAAAAGGAGCCCGGGTACAACTTTAATCTAAGACCTCTTTCTCTTTGGGAAATTGAAACAATCTTATCAAAAAGAAGAAATAGTTCATAGCCTGGTCCAAATGGAATACCGTATCTGTTGTTCAAGAGATGTCTCGCCGCAGTGAAAGTTCTACATAAACTACTAGTTAAAGTTTGGAACTGCGAGGTTGTTCATGAAGACTGGCAAATTGTTAATGAAGAAAGAAAAAGATTCAACCGCACTATCGTAGTTTCGTCCAATCTCTTAGCTGAATGTGGAAGGTAAATTATTTTTGGCTGTCATTGCCGCCCAAATAAATGTGTTTGTCAAAAAGAACAAATATGTCGATACATCGGTGCAGAAAGGCGGTGTCCCAGGAGTCCTCGGGTGTATCGAACACACTGCAACAATTTGGGAGGCAATTCAAAAAGCTAAAAGTAATAGGTTGAGTCTTCATGTAACGTGGCTAGATCTAGCAAATGCCTATGGAGCTGTTCCACATGGCTTGCTGTGGAAAGCGCTGGAAATGTTTCATATACCTGCCAAGATAACAGGAATTTTAAAAAATTACTTTGAGGGTTTCAAAATGTGTTTTACAACAAAAGAATATACAACAAAATGGGTGGATTTGAAAATAGGAATAGCCATGGGCTGTGCAATATCACTGACGCTTTTTGTACTGGCTATGAAAATTTTGCTTGACGCAGCTAGTGCTGCAAAAATCTCACTTAGAAAGAGAGTTTACATGCCCTCGCTAAAGACTTTCATGGATGACACCACGCTGCTGACAAATTCTGCAATCACCTGCCGCCAAACTTTAAAAAATCTGTCGAATGCTTTTTCCTAAAGCCATATTGAAATTCAGTCAAAATTTGATATTTTGCCAAAAATCTAATTAAGCATCTTTGTATTAACTTTTTCACATATTTCGAAAATCCTGGCAACAATGATATTGGGCGAAAATTGGTGATGTCGTAGTTGTTGGGTTGTTTTAAGACGAGTACCACTTTTGCTGTTTTTAAACAGTTCTGGAAAATTCCGCATGCAAACGATTTGTTGATTAGAAAATTCAAAATTTCAGCTGTTACAACTGCAATTTTCGTCGGAATGTCATCACAACCACTTGAGGATTTTGCTTCAGCGATTTTGCTGTACTGAAAATTTCCTCAGCCGCCACATCTTCAAGAAAGAAACTGTTCAGCAAAAAATTTAAAAAAAATCTTATTGCGTCTGTTTTGACGGGAAATTGTTTAGATAACTAGACCGCGATGTTTTTGAAATACTCGTTGAAGCTTTCTTTCGGTTTATCGAGAGGTTGATTCTCGGCCGACTCGAGGATGTTATTGTTGTTTGTATTGCTGTTTTTATTAATGAAATTATTAATTAACCTCCAGGTTTGTTTACTATTAGATTTGTTTGCTTCAAGTGTGCGATGAAAGTAGTCACGTTTCAGTTTATATTTCAGGTGGGTGCAAACTTTTTTGATTTAAATTTATCAAAGTTTTGATTTGTAGGTGAATGGAGAAATTGTCTATACAAATTGTTTTTTTTTCTGTAGATTTTTTTGAATTCGGAAGTAACCCAAGGATTTTGTTTTTGCATTTTTAATGTTTTTTTCTGCTGGTGATCTGGCAGCATTTTCGAAAACAAGTTGAAAAATTTTCCATGAAATGACTGAACATCAAGTGCACATCCTCATAATCATAGAGAGCTTCCCAGTTAATTGAATTTAAATCATTGCACAAATTTAATATTCTAGATGTTGAATACGAAAATTTGTAGATTGGTTTCTCAGAATATAATGCTTTTTTGTAGCTCGTTTTATTGTCTGTGCGTAATTTTTTCAGTATCAAGAAAATTGGTAAGTGATCAGATAAGTCACAAGCGATCACCTCGCAGAATACATTGTTGAGTGTGCTTGTGAAAATGTTGTCGGCATCGTCACTTTCAACATTCAAACAATGTTGAATGCTCATTTTCAGTTACTGCCGCATTTTTAGTTGATTCTTTGAACGTTTCAACACTGGATAACAGGAGATGACTTTTATCCGTTTGAGGTTAAGAATTCAGTAACATCATTTTGATGCATCTTCTGACATTTCCCATTGCGAAAAACTTTTTTTTATTAAATTATTTTTTTCAGCCTGGATGATACTGTTGTCACAAATTTTGTTGCCAACGATTTTCGTAGTCTGCTTTTTCACCACGAGAAGAATGTTCCCGCCTCTGAAGTCTTTAAAATTTGCGGTTGAACAGTTGAAATTGAACTTGCATTGTTTGAATTTTCAGTTGCGATTTCTTTCATTATTGCGTCGCTGCACACTTTTCTTGATTTCAACATGTTATTTATTTTGGTTTTTAGCGCTTTCAGTTCAACTTGCGTTGCTTTCAATGCCAGGCCGAACTGAGCGCTCTGGTTGAGCAAAGTTTTTTTAATTCGTTTTTTAACGAATCAAAATTCAAATTCATTAAATTTTCTATTTTCTGGACTTTTGCCATATTCAGACTGACAAAAATCAAGCATTTTTCCACATAGTTATTTGTTTTCAGGTATTTGAACAAATTTACGCAGTCAAATAATTTATCCTTTTTCGTATTTCCGCGCGACTGGAATTTTTCAATTTTTAACAATTCCATTTCATGTTTTAACAATTTCAGAGCTGCAACGATATCCTCATTTGTGTAGAAATCCGAAATGTTGCCAACAAACGATTCTTTTTCCATTAACTCCAAGTTATTATTCAAATAATAAAGTAGCTCATTAACAACAAACTTGTGAGTTGCTATTTTTTTACTATACATACATACATACATACATACATACATCAAATCAAATCACTTTTATTCAATCAAACAAAACAAAAACATGAATGATTCGGAGACCAAAAAAAGAAAATTAATTCTTGTGGGCTCGGCCACCGTGCAGCTCAAAATTGCTTCTCAATGATAAAATAAAATTGTCAATAGGAGAAAATGTATCAATGTTAATGAAATATGTACACACTTATATACATATATATACATATACATTATTATCCTTGAAAAACAGAACTTTTCGTAATTAAAAAATTTTTCAGTTTATTTTTAAAAAGATGCAAAGTGTTACAATCTTTAATTTCTTGTGGAATCGTCTCCCATATTCCTGGGCCGGTATGTTTCAAACTCATGAAAGTACTTTAATTCTGGCTGGTGGAGCATAGAAAAGTGGCGTGTGGCGTGTAGTTCTTGCTTGAATGGAAGTTCCAAAAGTGAAAAAGTTTCTAAAAAATGCCGGCAATTGCTGACGTAGAAATCTAAAAATGAATGTTGCAACGT